CAATTAAAGCCCTAAAAGCTGCTCCGATATCTAGAAAACTAGAAATTGCTCAGAATGCAAAAAGTTGCTCTAAACAAAAAAAAGTTGCTTGAAATACGAAAAGTTGCCAGAAAGTTGCCGAGCAACTTGTGGCAAGCCCTACAGCTGGCCCCTTGATAGGGGTTCGACTGTATATATTTTTTATGACAATGTGATCAAGATTTTTTGGTTTGTTTGTGTATTTCCTTGAAGTAATTGGCATGCCTTGTCACGTGCATATCATGCCTCCCATGATATACACGTTGTCTACACCTTCACAGCGATTGTATGAGCTAACTTGCGTGTCATTTTTACTAGACTAGAATTGTCGTTAGATTGTATGTTCTATTTAGAACCACAACAAGGCTCTTGAACTAGACACTTTTCAACTCCGTTTAGTGTGTTAGTGCAGAAAAATATTCCAGTACATGATTGACAACGCGCTTTGTAAGTATCCTGTTCCTTAGCTAGCAAATGCGTCGGATAAAGAGGCGTTACTCCGTCTGCGTTCGTAGGCCACATGAACCCCTTTTCAGACACAAGAAGAAAGTTGTATGGATGTATGCACAGTGGGGATCATTGGTTTCACTCTAGATGTAGTGTACTGTGACTTAATATTCCCTTTCCTGCACCTGAACCATCGGTATAACCAGTTGCCGCTAGTTGCCGCTAGTTGACCTCTACTAACTATGAGTTGACGAATAAAAACGTAGTATAGTAGATTATGGTCAACACAGTGGAGGCATTGCCATACTGACCTAATATGGTTCGCACGTCGAACTCTTAATCGAGGCGCTTGAGCTTGGGTGCTAGCCAGGGTCATGTGACTTTCTTTCCCAGAACGATACTGGAAGATTGCTTGAAGCAAATCATTATTATAGTTGTATTCGGCTAACGTGTTTACATCCTTGTTGCCACCCAATTCAGACCACGTGATGATTCATTTGGGAGGTTACAATTGTGCAATTTGTCACATGCAACTGAGTGCAAGAGGGTATGTGCAAACAGAACAATTGTAACCTCCCAGATGAATCATCACGTGATCCGGTCGTAGGGGATCAAAAATTCGAGAAATGGTGCGACAAACGAAAGCGAAAGTTGACTTCAATTGAGTAACACACCGGTTAAGCTAAATGAATTACTTCGAAATTCTATGCCGAAGTTAAATCGGAAAAGGCCAACTACTAACACCAAGTACTCTCTCAGGTATTCGTACTCTCACAGATAAATTTGAGATGTATTATTTGTGTTGATTGATTAAAGCTTGTTGAATCACCAGTTACATGATAATTCGAAGTAACTTTGAATTCATTATTCACTTGTATTATTAAAACTCGCATTCTTGATATTATTTGGCCTTGTATATTGATAACAATGATGATGACATGACTTATCTCGGGAATATTGTTTATTTGCGCCCTTGTAGTGTCATTTGCGGCCCTCGCACTTCGCGGTCGGGCCGCAAATGACACTACACGGGCGCACATAAACAATATTCCCTCAAAAGGTCATGTTATTCCCTTATAAATAAAAAGCATTATTGCATTATTTGTTCGCATACAGAAGGAAACAAATAGCAAGCCGCGTCATGCCGATTTAAAAGAACAAACAAACAAAAAACTTATATACATGCTAATTTGTAAAGCTCGGCAAAAAAACTTCACCTGATCCACAGTGCAGTTACTGAAGGACACTTTTTGAAATGTTCTGCTATAGACAAAGAGTATTACATCTTCACATGTCCACGGAACTTTATTTCTATTAGCTGACACGAAGAAAC